TATGAACTGGTATCCGCCTCTTGTAATGTCTGTACAGCAATCCTGAAATAAGAGAGACAGAAGCAGCACAAAGAGCCAGTCAGTTAATGTGTTGAAAAGAAGCATGTTGACAGGAGCAGATTGGCAGAGAAATGATATCATCACTGCGCTGCTTCTCCTTGCCCTGTCTAGTTACAGACTGAGGGCAAATACAGGACAACCTGGGCTCAGATGAAGTGGGTTGAACAATAATGGTCATCACACTGAGGACGTCTAGAAGAAAAAAAAAAAAATACTGCATGGGAAATCTCTGGATTTAAGTAACGAAAATTGGCTTTGCTAGTTTATCTTGTAATGGGCTATTCATTTTATCTTTTTTTTTTTTTTTATGGCCTGAGCTCTGTTTTAAATGTATAGATTATTGCCCATCTACAAAAAAAGCATTCTAAAATAAGATATTATGCTATGATTATGTATAACCATTTTTGTCTGTATTTGTCCTTGTAGCTGTTGTTACCAAGGGCAAAATGAAAAGTCCAAAATTTATGAGCTGTCACCCAAACAGGAGGCAAGAGTAAATCTTCCAATGGTGACAAATTGTAATTGACAAACTTGTAGAGATTTCTTTTAACTTTTTGTTGTGTTTCCATGGCAGGAAGTGAAGGGAAATATCCCCAATGGGACACAGAAAGCAAAAAAACGATGAAGCAGACCTTTGCTGTTCAAAACAAAATATGGCTTTAAGCTTGTTCTAAATGTCAATAATTTAAATGTATTTGCAATAAATATCTGGATATGTATTAGTATGGTTGTTTTAGGTTTCCTATTGGCAGGGTATAACGTTAGCCACAGTGTTGCTCTCACTGCTCCTTTGTCTCTCTGTGTGTTAATTAATTGTTCCAATATGTGATTTGAGGATAGCATCTTGTGGTATATATAAAATGTTTATGACGGGTAGAGACGGCCAAAGCACATCCCATGGGAAAACAGAAAACAACCCAACAAGCTGTAACAGCGGTTGTGCTAAGCCAAAAAAGCCTGGCTAAATTACCTCTGTACGACAAACAAAAAGTCTTTTAGCCTGTTTATATTTTGAGCTTGCTGCTGAGTTTTTTGTTTGAAGTATTCATGAAGTCCATATTGTTGTAATAAGGTTTTATTATTCTGTGTAGCCAGATTGCCAGTGCTATGTTCCAGGCCAGCATCCTCCAGATGTGAAGGAGGGAGACTGGTAAGAAAGCAGCTGTGTTTTGCACCCTTTTAAACTCTTATATGATAAAGGTTCTTAGCAGTCTCATGTGTAGTGAGGTATGATGATCTCTGAACTGCTATCTGACATGTTCATTTTGTTTGGCCAAGCTCAATGATTCTGTTTGCTCTAGCATGTGTTAACATATTATTGACCATGTTACAGCATCAACATCAAGAGGCATGCCCAAAGAGAAGTGCAGAGAACAAATGTTTTCTTGTTGCCTATAGCAACCAAATTACAAATATCATTCTAGGTTAGGTTCGTACACTCAAAAAAGGATCTTATTGATTCTTATACAATGGCGCAATGATATGTGGTTATTAAAGCTGAAGTTTAGTTAAGAAAAACATGCTTTTGTCTCTACGGCTTTAATGACATTACTTACCTGTGATGTAGTATGCCCCTTGATGTTGGATTCTGTAAAAAATCTTCACTGTAGAGTTGCCCTGTCCTCTTCCTGCTGCTAACCTCTTCCAACCCTGTGGGGGTTCGCAGTTTTGGGCCTCCAGGCTTAGCTGCTCCAAAGATGATCTAACAGGGACCCACCCCCGTAGACGATAGCTGTAAAAACAGGAAAAAAGAGGGTGCACCAGACTAGTGCATTATCTAAGATGATACCTATAACAGATTCAAAGAAGAAATATAATCACAAACACTGTGATAAACAAAGGCGTATCGAATTCAAAGCAACCAGTTTACCAGATTAGCTCCAAATCTCAAGAAGACCCTCCAGAGTCTAACGCGTTTCGAGGAGTGGTCTTCTCTTCTTCAGAGCCTCTGAGAAAGAGGAGACCACTCCTCGACACGCGTCAGCCATCTGGAGGGTCCTCTCGAGATTTGGGAGCTGATCCGGTGTACTGGTTGCTTTGAATTTGATACACCTTTGTGAGTACATTTCTTCTTTGAATCTATTAAAGACATCATCTTAGGTGATGTACTAGGCTGGTGCACCCTCTTTTTTCCTGTTTTTACAGCTATCATCCCTGGGTTCTTCCCCTAGCGGGCAGCAAGGCCTTTGCTAGCACTGGATGCATGAAGCACCAGATACTTTTCCATCCTAATATATCACTCTCGAGCGCAGGGGACTGTTTCCTTTTTGTTTTCACAACTGATCCACCCCCACCTGCCCTCTCTCCTCCAGTGAGAAATGTTGCTTATAGCAACCAAATCACAGATATCATCATTCTAAGTCACGTTTGTAGACTCTGAGAATGATCTTTTAAATTCATATACAATGATGCAATTATACAGTGTGTGTTTATTAAAGCTGAAGTTTAGATTCAAAAAGAAACATATTGTTTTCTCTATAGCTGTAGCTACATTACTTCTGTAAACATTTTCACTGCAGGACTGCCCTGTCCTCTTCCAGCTGCTAAACTTTCAGCCCTGTGGTGTTTAAATGCTTTGGGTCTCCAGCCTCAGGTGCACTAAAGATGATCTGATCGAGATATGCCCCCACCGGCTTTCTCCTCCATTGAAAAATGTTTTAACTGATTACACTGCCTGTGACACAATCTGTGAATGGGGGAGAGAATCATGTGACTGATTAGACCTCCCCCCCATTCACAGAATGTGTTACAGGCAGTGTAATCAGTTAAAACATTTTTCAATGGAGGAGAAAGCCGGTGGGGGGGCATATCTCGATCAGATCATCTTTAGTGCAGCTGAGCCTGGAGACCCAAAGCATTTAAACACCACAGTGTGGAACATTTTGCGGCAGGAAGAGGACAGGACAGCACTGCAATGAAGATTTCTACAGAATCCGGCAGCCTGCACATCGTGGGACATAATTCATTACAGGTAGGTTTTGTAACTAAAGCTATAGAGAATACGATGTTTTTTAACTAAACTTCAGCTTTAAATGACAATATGGATTCTGGGGATGAAGTAGCAGAAAATTAAACAATAGACATTGTATACAAAGACAAAGTAATTTATAGTATTTTCACAAAGGCTGACAGCAGCTACCCATAACTCAGTGCTTCTGCTAAGTCTGTCATTGTTATAGGAGAAAATGTGTTAACAATTTGCTAGTTGTCTGCTTACAAGCTCCTTCTGGCTTTAACAATTTGTGCAGCAGGCAATGTATATCTTCAGCCCATATAAAATTTCTGGCTGTTTTCTGTCAAAAATAAAAGTCATCAGCAATTGTATTTTTTTTTCTACCAACTTTGCAGAACACTTTTGATCCTGATATACTAAAGCAGTGGAGCATGCTCACTTAATTTTTTTATTGCACCGTAAGTTTACACAGCACTTTACATTCACATCAATCCCTAACCCCCAAGGAGCTTACAATCTAAGGTCCTTAACTTACATTCAAACATACACATACTAGGGCCTATTTACCTACCAGCATGTCTTTGTAGTGTGGGAGGAAATCAATTCAGCTACAGGGAGAACATCTGAGGAAATCAATCCAGGTGCAGGGAGAACATTTGCGAAGGCAGTGCTGGAGTTGGTGTTTGAACCAACATCCCTAGTGCTGCTAGGCAGAAGTGCTAACCACTTAACCACTGTGCTGCCCAATTTAAGATTAAAAACATCACTAAGCTTAGTTAAAAATTCAGACAGAACATTTCTCACAGAGTCAAATGCATGGTAGTGCCTACTTGGATGACCTGCAATATCCATACAATCATTGTTAAGTTTATCAATTCTATTATCGAGTTAAGATTATTAGTTCATGTTTCCTGAAACATGAATGAGGTACAACTTAAAGTGGTTGTAAACCCTTACATACATCCAGTGAAGTGACTGGCATCAGGTTATACACAAAGATGAAAAATTCTCCTACATAAGCTGTACCTGTCTAGGTAGTCTTCTCTTCTCTACATCCATTCAAATTGATGAGTTTACAAGCTTGTCTGAGAGTTAGAAAAAAAGGGGGTTAAGAACTGAAATCACACACTGCAGAGTTCAGTAAGGAGAGCTCTGAGAGCAGATTGGAGGGAAGAGACACACCCCTCCACACAGCACACAGGAACAGAGCTGAGGCTGTCAATCTGCTGGAGGCCCCTCCCCTGTCACCCGTTTTTCTCTTGGTGTCAAGAAAACTTGTTAGAATGTATTAATGCTGATAGTAAAGGAAGAAGGCAACAGGTAGAATTGAGACTTAGTTCTCTTAATTGAGTAAAGTACACATTATAGAAAGATATGCTTTGTCTGAGGTTTAAAACCACCTTAATGTAGAGCAGTCTTTCTCAACCAGGGTGACCAGGCACCCTTGGGTGCCTTGAGGTTTCTTCAGGGGTGCCTTGACAAAATTTCTAAAAATTGCCCAAAACTTGTACACAAGCCAGTGGGTGGAACAAGCCTGCCTTTTAGTTACACAAAGCCACAGGATTTCATTAAGCACCATTATGATCTTGTAGTCGCTGGCATCCTGACAACCAAATACATCATCAGTTGATAAGGAGGATGTCATCGGCCTGCACAGCATCCTAGTTTGACCCCCCTTGCCCCTCACCATCAGTGCTGGGGTCACATTAGCTCAAAAATGGAGAAAAACTGAGGGAGAAGAGAAACATTGGAACACTGCTCAGTACCAGTGTGCAAAAGTGTATTTTCTTTAGAAGAATAAATCCCCTTTAATGTGCTGTGTTATATAAAAACTATTAGAATAGTTTTTCACATTTTAGAATGGGGTGCCTCAAGACTGTCCATAATTTTAAAGGGTGCCTCAGGACTGGCCATAATTTTAAAGGGTGCCTCAGGACTGGCCATAATTTTAAAGGGTGCCTCGGGACTGGACATAATTTTAAAGGGTGCCTCAGGACTGGCCATAATTTTAAACGGTGCCTCAGGACTGGCCATAATTTTAAAGGGTGCCTCGGGACTGGCCATAATTTTAAAGGGTGCCTCGGGACTGGCCATAATTTTAAAGGGTGCCTCGGGACTGGACATAATTTTAAAGGGTGCCTCGGGACTGGCCATAATTTTAAAGGGTGCCTCAGGACTGGCCATAATTTTAAAGGGTGCCTCAGGACTGTCCATAATTTTAAAGGGTGCCTCAGGACTGGCCATAATTTTAAAAGGTGCCTTGACTGAAAAAAGGTTGGGAAACACTGATGTAGAGGCTTCTAGAAAGACTACAAAGATGGTATGCACATTTTCTCTGTTGCCTTCTTGAACACTGGACAGTCACTTTATGCTTCTACAAACATTTCTATGTTAAAGTTGAATGTATACATGCAAAATGTTAAAAAATTTTCATTTTAAATGAAAACCCAGAAATGGAGTCTGTACAATCCACTTATTACTGGTCATGAGTACTAGTCAAATTAATCTATCACTGATAATTTATTGCAGAATATCACACAAGGGATAAACTCACATACAATCTCTTTATATTGCTACTCTTTATTCATATACAACTTCATCATACAGCACACTCGGACATGTTTCACCTAATCACAAATTACTCAGCTTTATGTTTAAGCCCCTGGTGGTGTGAGACATGAAGTTAAGATTTTGATGGGGCTTTATGAAGATTGTTGATGAAGAGGTGTCAGCAAAATATAATATTGTGCAGTTTTATCCCTTGGGCTCATCCACATGTCCAGACAGGGCCCTAAACCACCTCGATCACCTAGATCAACATATTCCTGTGGTATGGCAGGTGAGTGCGATCAGCTGCGGCTGCTCAGTCTGTTCAAACTAATGGCAAGATGTCTGTGTACAAAACTGCTCATCTGTCCCTAACCACATGTAATGGCTACTTGTATGATTAAATATGAACAACCGCAGACAGCCATGGACAATGTCATTATGTCATTGATTTGTACAGGCTTCCTGTTCGCATCTGATCACAAACACCTGGCCATATCTGCCACAGAAATACTTTGATCTCTGCAGGGGCAATAGGTTTCCAGCAGGATATACTAGTTATAATGTTGTCCAGTGTTTCTTAGAGTTTGAGTAACAATGTATTTGAAACATCAAATATCCTTATACTATGCATTATCCTTATGCATTGCTTTCATTCAATGGTTGCTTGACTTATTTTCAATTTTCAAAAAAAAATGTTGTGGTATTTTAAGTTCATTTAAACCCTAACCAAATTATATTTAGTTTGCTAAAAAATCATTTTACTGTATATCACAAACAATTTTTTTGCAATAAAATTCTATTTTTTCATTGTTTGTTGCATATCAGCACTAGGAATGCACTCAAGGTTCAGTCTGGACACAAGTATGGACATTGGCTGTTCAGGGCTTCTCCTGAACACCAGAGCTTTTGCCTGTTCAGCAGCAGTCAAAAGATATATATGGTAGTAGTATGTCTACAACTACTATATTTAACTGTTTCCTTACAGTCAGTAGTTGTTAGAGAAGGAGCGGGTGCTGGCACCTGCTGCACCCTTAATAACCAGTGACATTACCCATCACCATGCCCCAGCCAGTGGGAATAGCACTGACATCACTGACCAAAAATGGCTACATGGCCATATTTGGACAATGACATTGACCAAAAATGGCCATGGACATATTTGGTCAATGACATCATCTGGGAGACCATACCTTCTTTGTTTAAGTTTAGCGACAGGGCCCAAGAGATGTCATTCTGGGACATCTGCAACAGGAGCAGATTGTGTTCACAATTGGTAGGAGAGTTGATGGGCATCATTCATTGTGATTGACATGAATCCGCATCACTGGAAGATGTCAAAGACATGAAGGACTTGTCAAAATGTGTGGTGTCATTTTAATAGTTTACATACTTTTTTGTAAATAATTAGGGGTATAAGTCGGGGGGTCCAGTACCTGAGGGACACCTTATCTTAAAGAGGGCTTCCAGATTCCATTAAACCCCCTCCCACAGACCTCCCACAGACCGCCACAGCCACTGGGCCAAGTTTGTGTGGAAGAGGCACTTGATCTCAGCAACATGGGCACAAGGTGCTTTGTCAGAGGGTCCGATCATGATAAGGGCATCTGGCCTGGTAGGATTCAGGAGAGCAGGGCACATGCTCATCTCAGTCAGCCAGGTTGAATGCTCAAATAAGGGTCTAGTATGGATTTTGATGGTGCCCTTACCCTTTTTTGTCTTGTTTTTAGCATGGGGTTACCCCTAAAATTCAAACCAGGCCCTTGAGAAGGATAAGGGTCTAGTATGTATTTTGAGGGGGAATCCCATGCCTTTTATTTTCTGTGGGGTCCTCCTTTAACATCTACACCAGACCCTTGTCTATTGATAAGGGTCTGGTATAGATGAAGAGAATCCCCAGCTGCTTTGTTTAGGAAATAAATTGTTTTTAGAAATAAGCAGCCAAAGCTGTAATTTAAACAGTCAGTTTTGCTACAGTAAGTGGTATGCTGTACATTATATGGATGCACCAGTTCATAGCCAGCTTAAGGACATCCCCAGGCATGTCATTTGAAGACATTTTCATTTTCATTTTTTGTGTTTCAATTTAAGCTCTATTAAAATGGCTGCTCTGTGACAAACTGAATTTTTAAATGTTTTCCTTTTTGCTTTGATACCACATATACCCCAGGCAAAGCCCAGCCCCATGCCATTTGTTTGACATTCCCTTGTCTATTAGCCTATAAAATAAACATTACTAGTTTTTAACATTCAGGTCCCATTAACTTCAGTGGCGATCAGATTCAACATCAGTAAAGTTCCCAAACCCACCTCACACAGAACCCAGGTACATTCTTCTAATTCCTAATCAGCACTGCTCATCTTCTTTTAAAGATATTTTCTGTCTTCATGAATGAACTCCAGCACTCTCAGGACTGGTTGCCAGATGGTGAAAACAGTGGACCATGACCTAAAGTGCGTTGAAAAGGTCACTTGACATCTGCATCAAAAGTTTACAGGGTTAAAACACAGGAGAACAACCCTAGAGATCCTAAAACAGAAGTACCTGAACAGGTACCTTCATGACAGGATCAATAGATATCATTTTGTTTTGAAAGCTGCAAATAAAGAAATGTTAAAAGGAACTTTTAAAATTAACATGGAAAAGCTTATATGAGATTTTAGTGATTGGGTTAACAAATACCTTTTTTATTAACCTGTCATCATGACACCATGCATACTAAATTAATATTGTAAATTAAAGGAATGAACCAACATCCCAGCAGATAATCAACAATGTAGACTCAAGCAAGCTTTCCTATGCAAAACCCTTGGAAGAATTCTTTATAGACCATCAACTCCCATGTTTTCTATAAGCCCAGCAATGTGATTCATATGGAGGAGCAAGAAGGAAAGACCAAAGCCACTGGATTCCTAGCTTCCTATATGTGCCATACCTGTGGGATCCTCTAGAACAGCCTTTTTCAACTTTTTCAACACAGATGAACCCTTGAAATAAGTTTCCAGTCTCAGGGAACCCCTGCTAAAAATAACAATTTCTACAACTCATGATACATAAGCATGATGTGGTAAGAATGCTCCTTACGCTTGTGGTCATTGGGAAGAATTACCCTTACAGATAGCTAAAAAGATCAATGGTGTCAGTGGAAATGTATCTGAGAGGCAGAAATTGCTAATTTCTCAATGAACCCCTAGCAACCTCTGGAGGAACCCAAGGATTCCATGGAACCCAGGTTGAGTAACCCTGCTCTAGAAGCCGGAAATCACTGCAGTAGGCACCACACTAGCTTTCAGGCCCTGTATCGAGTAGCTGCCCTGCTACATTGTGAACACAGGAGGTTACTTAATTGGCAAGGGTGCCATTCATTTTCTCAATGAATGCAAAGTGTTCTCATATCGGATTAGGTGGAGATTGTGTTGTCACCGCTCCCCCTCTCCACTTCGTTCAATCAGAGAACACTTTGTAATTACTGAGAGAATGCAAATTGTTCCCTTAATGGCACCCTTGCCAAGTAGATGACCTCCTGAGTTCACAATGCAGCAGGCCAACTGCTCAGCACAGGACCCAGAAGCCGCTCTCACAGGGATCCCACACATACATACTTACATTAAAAAATGCCATACGTGGAATTCAGCTTTATATAATGTCTGATTACTGTGAGATATTAAAGTGCTGTAGTCTGCTGATAATAACAACAGTCAATCTGTTTAATAATGTACTACATAGCATTAGTATGATTAGAACAAATTGATAAAACATTATTTCTAAACAGTAGACACATTTAGAACATTATGTAAGAGAGGATATTGAGAGATTATATGCATCTAAAAGAGGATCACAAAACAACAAAGTTGTTGTTGACATAAACAAAACATAATATTTCAGTCATGTTGTAGACATTTGTATAAGTGCAGAATAAAGCTATATGTTTATTTTCATAGGAAGTGTAATCAGCAGTATCATTGCAATTTCCTGAATTTGGGTCTGCACTCAAGTTACTGGAAAAGTCACAATTACTGCACTGGACTAGTAAAGTAAAAAGTAATCTCATGCTGTAGGGGTCTGGTGGGAACAATCAAGAATGTGTTTTGTGGGAAATTCTAGCTATGACACAACTGTGTTTACTAATCAAGATACCAGAGCGCTGCTTTGACTTCATTTAGCAAAGTAAAGAGTCACCGAGTTTAGTAATCTGTGTTCACCTGTCAAGCTACCATATGCAAGCAAATTTCCTCTTAATGTTCATTTCTTTTGCACATATTTAGGTACTTCAAATTAATGCATGTTCATCTTATTTACTATCGTTAACTTTGCAAAGGTAACATGCACTTTCCAAAAAGAACATTCTCTGGGCTACGTGAACACCCTTGTATATTAACCACTTTAGGACCGCCCTATAGCAGATATACTGCTACAGGGCGGCACCTGTGTGCAGGATCACGTATATATGTCATTCTGCATTTCCAGGCTGGGGGCGCACGCAAGCCGTGAGTGCACCCTATCCGCGCTGCCATTCGCGGTCGCGGATGTCAATCACCAGGCCCCAGCCGGTAATTACCCGCCAGCGCCCAGTAATTACCAAGCATCTCCAACGGGGAGGAAGATTGTTTTGTTTACATACAATTTTCCTCCGTCAGCTCGAGCACACTGCTCGGGATGACTGTGCACAGTACAGCCATCCCGATCAGTATGCCTACAGTGAAGAACACACCCCCTGCCCCCTAATAAAACATTCCCAGCACACAGTTAATCCTTTAATTGCCCCTCATATTAACCCCTTCCTGCCCAGTGTCATTAGTACAGTGTCAGTGCTTTTTTTTAGCACTGATCACTGTATTGGTGTCACTAAGGTGTCAGTGACACCAAGTCAGTTCCACCTCAGTGTCAGAATGTCTGCCGCAGTCCCACAGT